TACTGCAAGCTCCACGTTCCGGATTCACACCATTCTCCTGCCTCAGCCTCCCAAGTAGCTGGGACTACAGGCGCCCGCCACCTCCCCCAGCTAATTTTTTGTATTTTTAGTAGAGACGGGGTTTCACCATGTTAGCCAAGATGGTCTCGATCTCCTGACCTCGTGATCTGCCTGCCTTGGCCTCCCAAAGTGCTGGGATTACAGGTGTGAGCCACCGCGCCCGGCCTAATTTTGTATTTTTAGTAGACATGGGTTTCTCCATTTTGGTCAGGCTGATCTCGAACTCCCGACCTCAGGTGATCCACTTGCCTCGGCCTCCCAAAGTGCTGGGATTACAGGCGTGAGCCATTGCGCCCGGGCAAGCAGCCCCTACTCTTAAGGCCCGGCAAGGTCTCAGGCTGAAGCAGCATGTGAAAAGGAATCCTGACCACAGCAGCACTGTGTCCTGACGGTCACAATTTGTGGTGAAACCAAGGCTTCCAGAAGACCCTGAGAGGAGGGCACACGTGTCCTCTCCTGGGAAGTGGAGAGTCCCACCAAGAGACAGTGTGTAGCCAGGTGTGTGCAGGCAGGTGGGTGCCCTGGGCCCACACAAGAGTGAGTGTGGCTAAGACTTCTCAGGATCGGGGCCCTCCTAAGCCCAGAGGAGGACAGTCTCAGGGTGTGGGGGAAACTGTACCGTAAGCATAGACCCCAAGGCCTGGGCTAGATGGACAAGAGAGTGATATACATATAATGCCCTGCTCAAGCTCGGCAAATGGCAGGACCAGAGCAAGTTATCAGTTACTACCTAGTGCAGCCCACATCCATTTATTTTGGGTCATGAATTTTAAGTACCATACAAGGATCATGAACCTTTCCCCTCTCAGTGAAATGAAGGTCCCAGACCCCTGTAAGGAGGTCAGGCTCCCCACTGTCCCCACACTGAGATGCAAACAGCAAGTGTGACATCTCTTTATCTCTTTGGTAATGCAAGACAAGACATCAGTGATTCAGTGGTTGCCTCTGAAGTTGGGCGATTCTTATTTCTCTCATTACACTCAAACCTTCCACTTTTTCCCTCATGAGTGGACATTGCTTTTATAGTAGAAAAAAATTTAAAAACCCCCACCCTGGGCACTATGGGAACTGGACAGGTCAGGTCCTTGTGGTGGCAGAGACAGGGAGTGAGGACCTGAATGGCCAGTGCCAGGTGTGAGTGTGAGTGGGTAGAGAAACCTGACACAGGCGAAGGGACCTGAGGCCAGCTGAGCCACTGGAGATGGCAGGGGCAGGAAGTGCAAGCTGGACTCCAAAAGACCCCAAACGAAACAGTAATTTGGTTTGTATAAAAATCCCTTTAAGATATCTTTCCCAATTTTGCTTAAATTAAAAAAAAAAAAAAAAAAGGAAGTGGGGTAAAAAGCAGGAAGAACCCATACTTCCTGTCAAGACCAGCTACTGAGTGGGAGGAGGAGCCACCAGACATAAGAAAGACACTTCAGCTAGGCGTGTTGGCACACACCTCTAGTTCCAGCTACTGGGTCAGGAGGCTGAGGCAGGAGGATCACTTGAGCTCAGGAATTTTAGGTCAGCCTGGGCAACATAGTGAGACTGTGTCTTCAAAAAAAAAAGAGAGAGAAAAAAGAAAAAAATAGAAAAAAAAATAAAGACCTCCTTCTCTATGGGAAAATATACAGCAGTCCTCAACTGTCAGTTTTATTTAAATGTACAACATCCAGTATGGAAACAAAAACTTTCAAACAGTGAAGAAAAAAGATCAAAAGAAACAGACCCACAGATGACTCAAATACAAGAACAGACCAGATAAGGATACAAAAATAATTACAATAAATATGCTCAAAGATTTATAAGAATAATGGAAAGAATGGGTGAAGGTAAGAGAATCTCAGCGGAAAATGCAAACTATAAAAAAGAATTAAATGACTGGGCGTTGTGGCTCATGCCTGTAATCCCAGCACTTTGGGAGGCTGAGGCAGGTGGATCACCTGAGATCACGAGCCAAGACCAGCCTGGCCAACATGGTGAAACCCTGTCTCTACAAAAATACAAAAATTAGCCAGGCATGATGGCGGGTGCCTGTAACCCCAGCTACTCGGGAGGCTGAGGTGGAAGAATCATTTGAACCCAGGAGGCAGAGGTTGCAGTGAGCCAAGATTGCGCCACTGTACTCCAGCCTGGGCGACAGAGTGAGACCCCATCTCAAAAAAAAAAAAAAAAAAAAAGGCCAGGCGCAGTGGCTCACGCCTGTAATCCCAGCACCCTGGGAGGCCAAGGCGGGTAGATCACAAGGTCAGAAGATCGAGACCATCCTGGCTAACATGGTGAAAGCCCGTCTCTACTAAAAATATAAAAAATTAGCTGGGCATGGTGGCGGGCGCCTGTAGTCCCAGCTACTCAGGAGGCTGAGGCAGGAGAATGGCATGAATCTGGGAGGTGGAGCTTGCAGCAAGGTGAGCCGAGATAGCGCCACTGCACTCCAGCCTGGGCGAAAGAGCGAGACTCCATTTCAAAAAAAAAAAAAAAAAAGAAAAGAAAAAAGGAAAAGAAAAAGAAATGACAAATAAATATTGACCTAAAGATTTCCAAGTTTGATGAAAATCCTAAATCCCTAAAATTAAGAAGCTCAATGAATTCCAACAGGATAAATACAATGAAAATCACACACAGTCAAACTACTAAAAATGAAAGATAAAGAGAAACATCCAACAAGTAGCCAAAAGAAAAACAATAACATATACAGTCATCCCTTGGTATCCTCAGGGGAACTGGTTCCAAGATGTGGAACCCATGGATAAGGAGGGCTGGCTGTACTGAGAAACAGAAAGACTGTTGACTTCTCTCCAGAAACAATGCAAGACAACAGAAGGTATATTTGAAATGCTAAAAACAATAAAATAAAAAACTATCAACCTAGAATCCTGGGCCTAGAAAAAATAATCCACATGCGTCAAAAATGAAGGTGAACTAAGATGAGAGAATTTATTTCTAGCAGACCTGCATTACCGGAAATGTTAAAGAAAATTACACGTGCAGAGGAGATCACAGGAAGACTGGAAAAGTGTGAGTGATGAAAAACATTTGGATAAATTTATAAAGCTGTAACAAAACCTCTTCTTAATTTCTTTGAAAGACTTTTGACTTTTTTTGAACAAAAACAACATTATAAGATCTAATGCATATAGCAGTAAAATATGAAAACAGGACACAGGGAATTGGAGGGAGAAACTGGGTGTCATAATGGCAGGGGGTGTCTACAGTGGCAACGGTATACAGCCGTCTCTGCAGAATCCTCTCCCTGGCAAGAACTATAACTGCTGTGGCTGCTCCAGTTGTCATTTACCGACAGCTCACTAGGATGCAGGTGTTCTTGTTATGATGCCCACCACGCAGGTGAGGAGCCCTGCCCGGGAGTCAGAGCCCTACAGGCTGAAGTGTGACTTCCACAGGCCCTTCTGCACATCTTTGATGGAAGCAGGCTGATCAGGCTGAGAACCCAGAACCCTCCCTGACTTCACAGGTGTCCCCCTCACTAGATAACCTCCCCCAGGTGCCCACTGGACCAAAATGTTTCCTAAGAACGCTGAATGATGTGATGCACACAAACCCCACAAGGTTATAAAATATCAGGCAAATGTGAGGTATTATCATCACTGCCACCGCCACCGCCACCAGCCTGGAAAATCTTAATTCCGTTTTTGGAAATAGTCCAACTTTCCTGAGGAAACAAGAAAATCAAAATCCCCCTTTTTGACCACTCATTTCAACTGATCCTAAGAAACACAGAAAGAAAACATGTCAAATTCCCTGTTACCCTGACAGTTAACAGGATCTTTGAAAAATAAAATTGTTCTTAAGCATTTATCTAATCAGCTGAAAGGTAAGTATAAACTTCCTTGTGGGCCCCCTGCAGTAGCAACTCCAGAAATACAGATGCAGGGAAAAGGGGCTGATCCCGATTAGGTCAAAAAAAACGTTCCTGTGGACAAACACAACTGCTCCCAATCAGATTCAAAGTTAACAGGTGTTCAAGAAGCTGCATCTTCCAATTTCAGTAGGGAAATGGCTCCCCCTACCGAGGTTTTGGTAGATAACGGCTTCTCGGTACCAATGGGATGCTGTTAACATATGTTCTATTTTCCGTGACTGTCACATATAATAACAGAATCTATAAGGAGACTGAGGCTTGAGAAGGTGAGGGGCTTGCCCAGTGTCTCCATGCTTGGCGGTGGCGGCACCAGGGAAGGCTCTTCCCGTCTCTTATCCCATCCCATCCTCAGTGCCACCCCAAGGTCAGGGTCCTACCGGCACTTCTACTCCATCCTTGCCGGCCAGCAGCCATTCCCAGCAGGCCAGGGCTGTCTCCATGCCATGCTCGTTGAACATCCGGAGGGGACCCCAGCAAAGATGATGAAGGAGCTGCGGGTCACAATCTGGAACCGAACACACCTCAGTCAAAGGCCTCCAACACAGCTTCCATAGGCCAACGAGAGTTGACCAGCTGGGGCCAACAATGGCCTTTTATTGACTTTCCACTCATGAGAGATAACTCCTCTACTGAGGGAGCTCCTGCTCCTTCTCCTGCCAGGACTCCAGCTGACTATGGGTCATGAAGTCCAGCATTCATTTAGAAATAAGCCCAGAATTCCACGGTGCTTCCGTGAGTTACCTTTGCTGCTAATGAGCATTGCAGTCAGCTTGAACATGGCCTGCGTGTAGTGCTGAGGATGACTGCGGTCTAACGCTGAATGTAGATCCTGGACCATCATTTTGTTCAGGTCAGACATCTGGCCTGTGGTGCCTGAGAACCGAATCATTCCATACACCTGCAAAAACATTCTCATCAACAACTATGCATAGAAGCCAGGCAATGTGGGTGAGGTCCTGGAAGCTACCAGATCACACTTGTGGTGGCAACAGTGGGTGCCTCACTGCCCCAAAGTGGAGCTCATGCATGCAGAGAGACAGGCTCATTTCAATGATGCTACTACTGATCACAGCTTTCTTCTAAAAGAATAGCTCCTCTAGAAATGCAAGTTGGTGGTGCCACCACTGCAGATGTTCCCCAGGGGTGGGAATCTCGTCCCTCATCTTTGTACCCAGCAGTGAGCCCGGGGTCTGACCCACGGTGAGACTGCATGAATGTGAACTGGATAAATACATTTCCTCAGACTCATTAATGACTCAAACAACAAGATCAGCCTCCTTATTAATATTATTATTTTTTGAGAGAGGGAGCCTCGCTCTGATGCCCAGGCTAGAGTGCAGTGGCATGGTCTTGACTCACTGCAACCTCCGCCTCCTGGGTTCAAGTGATCCTCCCACCTCAGCCTCCCAAGCAGCTGGATTACAGGCATGCACCACCATGCCCGTCTAATTTCTGTATTTTAGTAGAGACAGGGTTTCACCATGTTGGCCAGGCTGGTCTCGAACTCCTGACCTCAAGTAATCCACCCGCCTTGGCCTCCCAAATTGCTGGGACTACAGGCGTGAGCAGCCATGCCCAGCCCTCCTTACTATTATTATTATTATTATTATTATTTTTTTTTTTTTTTGAGACGGAGTCTTGCTCTGTCACCCAGGCTGGAGTGCAGTGGCGTGATCTCGGCTCACTGCAAGCTCCACCTCCCGGGTTTACGCCATTCTCCTGCCTCAGCCTCCCGAGTAGCTGGGACTACAGGCGCCCGCCACCTCGCCCGGCTAGTTTTTTGTATTTTTTTTTAGTAGAGACGGGGTTTCACCGTGTTAGCCAGGATGGTCTCGATCTCCTCACCTCGTGATCCGCCCGTCTCGGCCTCCCAAAGTGCTGGGATTACAGGCTTGAGCCACCGCGCCCGGCCCCTCCTTACTATTATTAATAATTTTTTCTTTGAGACAGAGTCTTGCTCTGTTGCCCAGGCTGGAGTACAGTGGTACGATCATAGTTCACCGCATCCTTGAACTCCTGGGCGCAGGTGATCCTCCTGTCTTGGCTTCCCAAAGTGCTAGGATTACTGGCGTGAGGCACTGTGCTTGGCCAACCTACCTATTTTTAAAGTCAAATATAACTTTTTTTCCAGAGAAAAGAACATACAAGTGACAGAGTGCTCAGAGGGAGTGAACCCCCACTCAGACCAGGCAACTGATGGACTTTCAGAGTCGCCAGGGAGCTTAGAAATGGTATAGACTAGGCCACGTGCTGTGGCTCACACCTGCAATCCCAGCAGTTTGGGAGGCTGAGGCGGGTGGATCACGAGGTCAGGAGATTGAGACTAGCCTGGCTAACACAGTGAAACCCCATCTCCACTAAAAATACAAAAAATTAGCCAGGCGTGGTGGTGGGTGCCTGTAGTCCAAGCTACTTGGGAGGCTGAGGCAGGAGAATGGCATGAACTCGGGAGGCGGAGCTTGCAGTGAGCTGACATCACACCACTGCACTCCAGCCTGGGCGACAGTGCAAGACTCCGTCTCAAAAACAAAAACAAAAACAAACAAACAAAAAAGAAATGGTGTAGACTAGCTTCTGAGTTTATGGAGCAGGAAATGGAGGACCAGAGATGTGATGCCACTGGTCAGGCTGGAATAAACTGTGGCGTGGTGGGTGAAAGCCCATGATGTGGAGTTGGAAGATGTGGTTCCAGACCACACTCCACTTGTGTGACTCTGGCAAGTTACTTAATCTTGGGAACCTCCGTTTATTTATAAAACTGGAATAATATTACATAAATCTCACCAAGTACCCAAGAGCCTATGGCACATAAATGTTTGTTACTGCTTTTAAAAAAAGCCAGAAAAATTAAAAAGCTTCATTCAGTGTAGCCAGAGTGTGCACAGAGTTACCCTCTTGTGGAAAAAATAAGTAACTGTCATAAACACTCTGGAATGTGCCAAGGATTGTAGGAGGCAAGCCACCCAGGTGTCGAGGCAAGAGACCGAGGGCACAAGCTGTTCCAGTATAATAAAATATGTAAGATAAGAATAGTTATACTAGATATAGACCATAGATATGATTATATATGAATATCATTAATCATTACTTTGTAGCAATTACTCTTTATTCCAATATTATAATAATCCTCGCTCTACAATTGTAACCTAGGAGAAACCAGGCCATAAAGTGATAGAAGCTGAAAGGACGCAGTGAGAAGTGACCAGAAGACAAGAGTTGTTATGCCTGGACAGGGCCACCAGAGGGCTCCTTGGTCTAGTGGTAACGTCAGCGCCTGGGAAGATGCCTGTTGCCAAGCGGACCGTGGTCTAGCGGTAGCATCAGTGCCTAGAAAAACACCCACTACTTAGCAGACGGAGAAAGGCAGTCCCCCTTTCCCCGGGGGAGTTTAGAGAAGACTCTACTCCTCCACCTCTTGTGGAGGGCCTGACATCAGTCAGGCCCACTCACAGTTATTTGGAGGTCTAACCGTCTCCCTGTGATGCTGTGCTTCAGCGGTCACGCTCCCGGTCCGCCTTCATGTTCCATCCTGTACACCTGGCTCTGCCTTCTAGATAGCAGTAGCAAAATTAATGAAAGTACTAAAAGTCTCAGATATGCAGAAATAATGGCGTAAGGTGTCTCTCTCTTTCTCCCTCTCTCTCTCTGCCTTGGTTGCCAGGCAGGGAAGGGCCCCCTGTCCAATGGACATGTGACCCACATGACCTTACCTATCACTGGAGATGGCTCACACTCCTTACCGTGCCCCTTTGTCTTGTATCCAATAAATAACAGCGGGGCCTGGCATTCGGGCCACTACCGGTCTCCGCGTCTTGGTGGTAGTGGTCCCCTGGGCCCAGCTGCCTTTTCTTTTATTTCTTTGTCTTGTGTCTTTATTTCTACAATTTCTTGTCTCCACACACGGGGAGAAAAACCCATCGACCCAGCGGGGCTGGACCCTGCAAAGGATCCTCCTAAAATGTAAAATGTGCCCTTTAAATCCTCCTAAAATGTATGAATTCCACATCACCCGGACCCTCTGTTCATTTTCCACTAGGAAGCAGTCAACAGGCATCAAAACAAGAGGACACTTTAAAGGACCTAGGACGCAAGGACAAGAGAAAAGAAGTACCTCGCCTGCGTAGCGGTTGCGCAAATTCAGGGACGCCATGAAGTTGGAGTAGTCTTTCTTCACACAGGCCGGGCGCTCGGTTAGCTGAGTTGCCTACAGACAAATAACAATTATTTTAGACTATGGTAATATTATCCTTTTCTCATGTTTACCATGGCTAAGCCTAAACCCAATTAAGAAGTCACATTCGGATCTGGGGGTTACTATTAATAAAAATCTTCACTGCTGGCAAGTTAATAAAGCAAAATATTTCAGAATACCCAGCAGTTTGATATGTTCCATAAGAAATTTTAAAAAAATAATACAGAAGAAATGTCTCTGAAAGGCAGTTGCTGCTACTGGTAGGCCTTTGCAAGAGAAAGAATCGCTAGATTGTGAGAGTAATTGTCACCTGCGATGGAAACGCCATGAAAGCATCCACAGCCATCTCCTTGAGAGTTGTGTGGGCAGCTTATAAATGTCACTTACAGACTGTAAAGGGGCTGAAGGGGAGAGCCAAGGCCAGCAGGCTCTTAAACATCTGCTGGCTGCTCCTCAGTCTAATGGGAAGAGACAGAACAGGGTACACCTTGAATACAAAGGCAACCCACAGAATGGGAGAAAAATATTTGAAAACTACCACCCACCCCCTCCACCCCTCTAGCCACTCTCTCTGCTTCAGCCTCAGCTTCCCAGCCCCAGGGCCTCAGTGACCCAGCTTCCTAACCCACACCTTTTAGTTCCTGTTCATCTACGGTCACTGCAGAGTACAGTGTGCATTGAAAAGGACCTCCTTTTGCATTTCCCTTTAGCATTAGTACTAATGGGGAAAGTGAGCTTCTCAACTGTTTTGAGTTTAGAGGGATTTTTTTTGAGGGGACGTGGTGTGGAGAAAGAGGACCAGGAGAAGAAAACATAGATGTTGGGGAACATCAAAATGCAAACAAGAACAAAAATAAGTGATTTTTCTCATGAAATTATTAAACTGGTTTATTTAAAAAAAAAAATAGATCATGTAAAACTGCTTTACATTTTCTGGAAACAATATGGTCTTTGGCACCAAGCAGGACTGAGTTAGAGCTTGGCTCTGATACTGATCAGCTGTGAGACCCTGGGAAGTCAACGTCTCTGAGCCTCAATGTGCTCATCTGTAAAGTGGGCATAAGAGTGGCCCTCTCACAATGTTGTTACAGGTTCAACATAATGACACACACAACATCCCGGCATGGCAAACAGCACCTGGTGGGCAGTGCAGGCCAGCTCCCTCCCTTCCACCATCGCTCCTCACTGCCCAATGAACCAGACAAGAGAAGAGCAGGTGATTGCCAAGAGCTGCTGCAAGAGTGCCCTGCACTGCAGAGGAGTGTTGACTCGGTTCTTTGGTCCTACCAGCCTGAAATCATACTTCTGAAACTGCCCTCCAGAGATCACTCTTCCCCTCCGAATGCTGTGTGAGGGGCGATGTCAGTCAGGGGTGGTGGAAGCTGCCCTCTCCCTGTGCTTTCCAGGGGCAGGGTACCTTAGGATTTCCAGCACAACCCTTTCCTGTTTAGCAACAGAAAGGGAAAACCTGACAGAGCAGTAGGGTGATTCCAGTTAACATTCATCGTTTGTACATTTCAAAATAGCCAGTAGGGGCCCAGGCACAGTGGTTCACGCCTGTAATCCCAGCACTGGGAGGCCGAGGTAGGCAGATCACTTGAGGTCAGAAGTTCAAGACCAGCCTGGCCAACATGGTGAGACCCCATCTCTACTAAAAACAGAAAAATTAGCTGGACATGGTGGCGCACACCTGTAGTCCCAGCTACTTGGGAGGCTAAGGCAGGAGAATTGCTTGAACCAGGGAGGTGGAGGTTGCAGTGAGCCGAGATGGTGCCACCTGCACTCCAGCCTGGGCGACATAGCGAGACTCTGTCTTGGAAAACAAAAATAAAATAAAATAAAATAAATTCACACCATTCTCCTGCCCAGCTGGGACTACAGATGCCCGCCACCATGCCCAGATAATTTTTTATATTTTTAGTAGAGATGGGGTTTCACCGTGTTGGCCAGGCTGGTCTCAATCTCCTGACCTCGTGATCCGCCTGCCTTGGGATTACAGGCGTGAGCCAACCGTGCCCGGCCCCAAAATTAACGTTTAAATATTTAAAAAAATAAGTTAGAGAAAATCTAACATATCGAATTTTCTGGGGAAAAAGAACAAAATCCTTTAGGCAAAACAGATTTTTCACAAATCAGCTGGTCAGAGTCTAGAAGAGGCTTACAAATGGGAACACATATTCTATTTTATGTAATAAAGTTTTGCTCCTACCACCCCCAAAAAGGAAAAGGCTTATGACTGTCATAAACACTTACAGTCAATGAGTTCCACCTCTGGTCTCTGTGGCCACCCAGTGGCAGAGACACCCAGGTCAGCGCACTGATACCTGGTGCCCCATCAGAGTAGGAGGCCTGGGGCGGGTGACCCTGCAGGTGCAGGCTGGACCCGCTCGACCATGTTTGCTAGGCTAGTGTCTTTAGAGATAGTGCAGTGACCTCGAGGGAAGTGTCCTGATAGCAAAATGAGGCGAGAAGACACCAGCCTTCTCTGGCACAGCTTCAGGCCCCAGAAAGGCCAGAGGGCACTCAGGCCCCTCTCTCCTGTTGGTATCCCAGGGGAGGCCTGTCACCTTTCCTCCTGGGTGCTCAGCCTCTGCACCTCCACATATCCCATCCCACACTCCATTCGGAGAGAGCTGGGAAGAACACATGGCCAGGCTCTAGATTCAGATTAACCAACAGAATCTCCGTGATCAGCCCCAGTCACATGGCCAGGTGGAACTGCCTGCTTTAATCCTATTTAACTCTAAGCTCTAATTTAACTCAGAAAGTATTGCTGTGTGAACCCTCTGTCCTCTAGATTAATCTCTAGCAGGACAAGAAGCTGAAGGCATTCATGTGCAGTTCAGCACCTGCAGAAAACAGAACTGTTCAGGAGTCCAGTACATGCTCCAGATAAGCGTAACTGTGGCATCGCACTGCCTGTGTCCAGCAGAGCTCTGTTTCCATCCTCTCGCATGGGGACATTCAAATAAAAAACTGATCATTGTCATATCAAGCGCTGATCCCCATAAGTCCATATATTAAAAAAAAAAAAAAGCACGGTAAGGAAACACTCATTTCAATGGCCACCTCTTCTTTGGGCTAGGGTGAGGCTTGCACGACTACCATTGTCAACAGACATCCACAGCACCCTGCATGTACTCGGTGCATGTCATGAAAAGCGACAGCTCTAGGCCTTCCCCTGCACTGTGGCTCCTATGGTCTAAGGGTCACTGCTCTCCAGAAGGCTCGCACATACCCCGAGAGTTGTGTTCTGCTTGTTGTAGCCAGCAAAGTGAAGGATGCTCTCAGTGGCCATGGCCAGTCCCGTGTGCTGGGACAGTCCTGACACCCAGTTCTGATGTTTGTTCAGATATTCCTGAAATAGGAAAAACACATGGGGTTTCAGTTATTTTTTAGAGGCAGGGTCTTCTCGCTCTGTCACCCAGGCTGGAGTGTGGTGGCATGATTATGGCTCATGGCAGCCTTGACCTCTTAGGCTCAAGCTATCCTCCCACCTCAGCTTCCCAAGTAGCTGGGACACACCAACAAGCTTGGCTAATTTTGTAATTTTTTGTAGAGATGGTGTCTCACTATATTGCTTAGGTTGGTCTTGAATTCCTGGGCTCAAGCGATTCTCCCGCCTCAGCATCCCAAAATGTCAGGATTACCAGCATGAGCCACTGTGCCTGGCCTTGCTATTTCATTTAAAGGGGAAAATAAAACTTTATAAATTAAGGTGTGGGCTAATGGACCAAACACTGGGTTTCTGTCCTGGGTCTGCCCCTCCCTAGCTAGCTGTGGGACTGTCAGTAAGTCAAAGCCCCTCTCTGATCAGCTACTGCTCATCTGACTGAGGACGAGGCCAATTCCCCAAGCGGCAGTCATGCAGTCACTGTGGTGTTGTACCGTCAACGGGGGAGGGCCACTTATTCTTTCAGCATATCCTTGCTGAGCATCTGCTGTGGTAAATAAGGCAAATAAGCCACAAAGCCTTGGCCTTGTGGTCAACAGACAGGTAGCGTGGTGTGGAGCCTCGGTTCTCCTACTGCAGTATCCTGGCAGCCCGGCCTGGGTGAGCTGGACAGCAGGAACAAAGAACAACACCTGTGTCCACCTGGTCACCCAGTGGGAGAAGGGTGCTGGGCAATGGGATACCTGGCAGAGCCCAGAGGTGTGAGGGAGGCCTCCTGCTCTGGGGACCACAGGGGGCTCAGCACTGCAGGAGTACCAAGGACAAGGGTCTCAAGGGTGGGGGCAAGCCTGGGCCAGATGCAAGCCAGGCGGGAAAGGCCTCCAGGACCATGCAAAGGTGTTTACAGGCGTGAACCAATTGATTCCCATAAGAAGAATGTACAGGAGCATGTACATCCAGAATTGTCTCAATGGTTTTGGGGGACTCCTGGAGCCTCAGAAACCCATCCTTGGACACCATGGTGATGAAAAGTGACTAATGATCAAGTTTAAAAGGGAAGCACACTGACCAGCTATCCTATTAAAAGCAGACTACTCTGGTGGGTGGAGGAGAGGGCAGATTTGGGGAAGGCTGAGGCTGGGCATGGAGGGTGGGGAGTAAGCACACTGCAGGGGATATGAAAGGGCAGGCCAGGGGCATGCCAAGGGGACACCTGGTGGAAAAATCAAGACCGCTTCAAGCCTTTTCATTTTCCATTTCCTTCTTAGGCCAGACATGCCTGAGACAGTAAAAAGCTCTATCAGCTGCTTTTTTTGTCCACTTAAACTTTCTAGGCATCAGAGGGGGCCTCCCCTTTTCAGACGACAGATAGCCTTGCGACCTGAGGCCCTTTTGCTGTAAATGAACAAAGGGAAATCATTTCTTGCCACTGCGCTTCCACACAGCTCCCAGGGCTCTTGGAGCTGGCTGCTCTATCCTTCCTGGATTCCACAACCAGAAACACTTTTGAACTTGTTTCATCTTTAAAGTGCTGCCAAGGTCAACCTCACAAGCAGCTCCTCTCAGCACAACCACTCTCTGTTAACACAGATTCTTTCTAGAGGTATTTTTCTCATCTTTGATTCCTTTTAAGGCAATTATTTCCTCTCACACCCTGTGGCATTACATGGTTTACCTCGTGGTCATCTGAGTTTCCAAGCCCGTGTTTTTGTCTGAGACTCCCATGCACCTCCATGTGCAGCTTATGTGGAGCTTCACTGGGACACAAGTCCCCAACTCTGCCTCTGCTCCACCAGCCTTGGTCAGGCCCCCGCCTTTGGGCATAGGTGCCAACAATGCACTTGGCCCTTAGAGATGCTGCCATCTGGCAGCCTCCCACATCCACCACACCAGCCCGTGCTCTCTTGTGAGCAGCTCCCAAGTCCTGCCACAGTCCTGCCACCTCACCTGGTATGAGCCGTCAGATGCCCTCCTTGTGCTCTGGCCAGCACTCATCCCACAGGCGCTCCTAACACAGAGCAGCCTCTGAGGCATCTATTATTCTCAGGCCCTAGACTGATGTTTTCGGTCTCCATTCACACCAGTGCTATTTGGATTTTGAGTTATCTGTGTCTCTGTAAAGCTTTTTGGGGAGCTTGAAGGAGCTTATGGAGACTGCAGTTTGATGATTTCAAGAAAGTACCTGCAGGTGGGACTTGGTGACGGTAGGTGCCCACTTCATGGCCTCCTGCAGGATCATCCCACAGCGTGCAGCGAAGTCCTTCACAATGCTCTGAAAGAGGGTGAAGTTGCTTCTCAACAACCCAAAGTCGTTTCATCTGAGCTGCTGTAGTGACTGTCATGGGCTGAACTGTGTCTCCCCAAATCCCTATGATGCGCCTTAACTGGTACCAGTACCTCAGAGCAGAACTCATTTGGAGACAGGGCTTTAAAGAGGTGATTCAATTAAAAGGCCAACAGGGTAGGTCCTGATCCAATCTGGACAGTATCCTTCCTTACATGTGTGGAGGGGAAATCTGGACCCACAGAAATACTGGAGCAGCGAGGAGGGTGTGCACAGAGGGAAGAACACGTAAGGACATAGGGAGAAGGCTGCCATTCACAAGCTAAGGAGAGGTCTCCGCAGAAACCAGTTCTGCGGACACTTTGATTTTACACTTCGGCCCTCAGAACTGTAAGACAATAAATGTCTGTCCTTTAAAGCTGCCCAGTCCATTGTCTTTTGCTACAGCAACCCAAGAGACTAGCACAGTCACTAAGTTTGAACCTCAGGGCGCCTGGGGCCAGGAAGCCCACACACACTGTGGTCTGTAATTCCGGCACAAGGTTTGTGGCAGAATCTACATGAGTAACATGTCACAGAGCCACTGTGCAACTTGTGTCCTGGGTCTGGGACTGGACGGAAGGGCAGGCTCTGGGTGGCAAAATTCTCTTTGGTGCCACACCACTCTGTGGGAAACTCGCCATTGACAGCTGGTCTGGAAGGGAGGTCCAGAGGTAGGATATGACTCAGCCCAGGCTGAAGGAGCTGTGAGCTGAGTTTCAGTCTTGCCACAGTGAGGGCTCTGAGACCGAGTTGGGGAGAGGAGAGACCCAGTATATCCTCCTCTTTTGGAGTGATTTATTCTGCCAGTTTCCCCATGGGATAGCACAAGTCAAAGGCATGTTCCCCTATTACCACAATAATAAAATGTCAGTGCACCTCACAGAAGTGAAGTCCACCTGAAAATCATGCTTGTGCGATGCAGACTTGAGGCTATAAACTGGCTGGTAGCTGAAGACCTCTTTGGCAGCTAAACTGAGGACACAGCTGAGTCAATATGGCTGAGGTGGGAGAGCTGGACTTGGAAGACAGAGCAACCTGGGGGCAGCCAGCTCCCCTTGCACACGATGGGGCCTGGTCTCCTCACTGGCTTGGTCTCCTCACTGGGGGATGTGGCCAGTACCACCCACACCTCAAATTGCTGGGGACTGGGTGAGCTCATGCAGGATGACCACCTTGTGGACATATTCAGGGAACTGTGGTAAAGATGGCCCTTAATGCAGGGGATCGTGTCAGGCCTACCTCACGGGCTTCGTATGTGTCAGGAACCGTGATCCGATAGGGGGCGTCAGGGATGTCATAGTAAGGCTGGTCCTTGTGAATATCCTGCAAGTACAGCGAGACTCCGTCTTGCAAACTGCCTTCCCCAAGTTGCCACTAGCAAGCACATGGGCCACCCCTTCCCACCAACTGTCTGTCTGTGACAGGCCTCCATACTTGATGCAACTTACTGCAAAACACCAGGTGAATTTGGGCCCCCTCACCCCCAACTCGACACCTGTAGCATTAATTAGGTTCAGGCTTATTGTCAGAGAAGCAAGCCACAACACAGGGCGGACAGGGCTGGCGGGGTGGTGGTAGTGCTGGTAGTGTTTGGGCCCTAGGTCTCCTGGGGACACTCACAGCGCTCAGGGACAGTGACAGGGTCTGCAGGATGTCCAGCATGGTCTTCAGCACAGTCCCGCTCCAGAGCAAGTGGGGAAACCTGCACCAAGAGCCAGCTCTCAGGACCAAGAGCCAAACCTCCAAGGAAGGTCTGCGCTTAGGAACCCCCTCAGCTGCCAGTCAGAGCCCATACCTGCTGCAGGCCAGCTGAAGGGGGAGGTCGGGAGGCCTTTGCAGCAGGATGCCTTGCCTCCTCAGGCTCACTGCAGCAAGGTGAGCAGTGCCTGGTCAGAAAGGCTCCCCAGGCCCCTGCCAGACCCACTTCTTAAGGCCAGACATGTCCCAAGTGACCTGCTATAAACCTGACACCAACTGCCTTGGTTATGCACTGGCCAGGACACCCCTCACTTCCCAAAGCAATCCTCTTAGTTTCTGACCAGCGTTCTCCATTATTTCTCACATAATGGAGAAAACAGCAGTATCTATCTGACACCCTGGGGTAAGACAGGCCATGGGCTCTGATGGCCCCAGGGCTGAAGGAGAGGTGTCTCTGCACAGCTGTGACCCACCAGTGGCCCACTGCTCAGGAGGCCCAGCTCAGACACACACCACGTGTGTGCTGGACTCATTTTCATGACCCTTGGCTGGCTCCTGACTACCCTTGATGGTGCCGCTGCCTGGACCAGGCACACAGCATCTGCAACAGGCTCCAGAACCGCTGGATACCTCTGAGGAGCCGCAGGCAGCCTCCGTGTGGGTGTTTTGCTGCCTCTGGCCTTCTCACCTTGGAGAAGCTGGCCCAGCCCACCTCTGAGAGTTCTCATCAGTGTGGGGACATGTCCCAAGAAGGTCTGTTTTGGCTTCCAGCACAAAGAGTGTATAGCAGAGAAGGGGCTGTGTGGGCTTTTGTTCCTGAGAAGCCCAAAGATACTGATTCTACCAGGAGACCTCAGGCTGGGCCCTGGGCTAGAAGATGGTGCACCAGGTCTTGCCAGGGTGGGTGGGATTGAGAGACACAGTGATGTGGCACCCAGCAAACGTGCTGTAAGTAACATTAACAGCTCAGAATGAACAGAAGTTTCTGGACCAAAATTCAGACACTGCAGCAAACTCACTGACATTGGAGGGAGGCTGCATTGCCTTAAAGAGTTTTCATTCTGACTCCATTTTTTCCTAGGCTAATAATACAAGGATGATTTTTCCCGGCATTTGAAATCACAGAAGTATATAAACATACACACAAAACGTTAGCAGGAAAATGAGCTTACTTATCCACCAGACCAGACAGATACTTGTCTGCCACCCTCCTTATCCTCTTGTGAATGTGGTTAAAGTTCACCAACAGGAACTGAGCGTGCCGCTCCAGCTCCTCCTCGTTCTCCTTGGTCTTGGCCTAGAGATGCAAAAGAAACAGGTACAGCAGTGCCCCAGGTGCCTCCAGCAGACAGACGCATTCATGCAGGAGAGGCTTACTTTATCTGCCATCATGTTCAGGAAGGCATCGAATACTTTGTCTGCGACTGCAATCACACACTGCATCATCCCTGAAACAAGAAGGTTTCCACAGATAAGGTGCAGCAACAGAGAGAGAATACTAGCAACTTTCAATCATTTTCTTTTGAAATGATTTCAGACTTACAGAGTGGCGAAGACAGCACAGAGCTCCCATATACCCTTCACCCAGCTTCCCTGGATTTTAACACCTGCAGTAACCAGGCTGATGTGTCAAAACTGAGTCAGATAGTGATATAATCCTATTACCTAAACTTCAGACTTCATCTGGATTTTCCATGCCTCCCACACGTGCCCCTCTTCTGTTTCAGCATCCAACCCAGGACACCAGATGGCATTTAATCTCTGTGTCTCCTACTCCCCTCCAATATGTGGTGACTCCTCAGTCTGTCAATGTCTTTTGTGACTTTGACACTTTTGAAGAACAGTTATTTTGTTGAATGTTCCCTAATTTAGGTTTGTCTGATGCTTGCCCACGATTAGACCAGGGTTACAGGATTTGGGGGAGAACTCCATAGAGTGGATGTGCTCTTTTGTTCTGAGATCGAGTCTCACTGTGTTGCCCAGGCTGGAGTGCGGTGGCACGATTTTGGCTCACTGCAAGCTCCACCTCCTGGGTTCACACCATTCTCCTGCCTTAGTCTCCCGAGCAGCTGGGACTACAGGCACCTGTCACCATGCTTGGCTAATTTTTTGTATTTTTAGTAGAGACAGAGTTTCACCATCATGTTGGCCAAGATGGTCTCGATCTCCTGACCTCGTGATCCGCCCGCCTTGGCCTTTCAAAGTGCTGGGATTACAGGCGTGAGCCACCGTGCCTGGCCCGGATATGCTCTTTCTGCATCACGTAAGGGGTATGTGGTAACAGTATCTCTTATTACTGGTGAAGCTAACCTTGACCACTTGGTTTGAGTTACCATTTTTCCCTTTTTCTATTTTTTTTGAGACAGGGTCTCACTTTGTTGCTCAGGTTGGAGTGCAATGGTGAGATCATAGCTCAGCTACAACCCTGAACTCCCAGGCTCAAGGGATCCTCCTACCTCAGCCTCCCTGGCGGCTGGGATTATAGATCTACAACACCATGCCCAGCTAATTTTTAAATTTTTGTAGAGACTGGGGGTCTCACTATGTAGCCCAGGCTGGTCTCGAACTCCTGGGTCAAGCAATCCTTCTGCCTCAGCCTCCCAAGGTGCTAAGATTACAGGTGTGAGCCACCATGCCCGGTCCCCTTTCTCCATTCTTTTTTTTTTTTTTTTTTGAGACAGAGTCTCGCTCTGTCGC